ACTGAATCTTCAATCAACAAGATAAGAATTCAGATAGCAAATCAATTAAGCTATTAAAATTTTCTTTATCGAGTCAAATAGCATTAAGAAAACTAGAGACAAGCGTTAACCTTGAAATTTGTTTTTATTTTCTTCTTCAGTATTTAAAATAATGCAAGTTCACGTGAATGGTACTATGTAAGTTAACACCTTGGAACTTTAATGATCTTGATTTTTGTGGGCAGTCAAATAAATTAATTAAGTACTCCTCCCTTTCATAATGAATGATTCTTTGGGCATAATATACTCTTTAAATTTAATTTAAAAAGGGTAAGTTGTCAATATCACTCATTTGTTCCTTGTCAAACTTTTCTTAAAATTAGAGGTAGTCAAGTAAAAGTTCACTATATTAAGTAATTGTTCAAAATATTTTCCAATTAGTTACCCCTATGGAGTAAAACTTGTTAGGATTAGTACTTATTTATTGTACATAAGGGTAGATTTATTTACTCTTATGCACTTTTCTTTTACGAACCTATAATTATCACTTATTACCCTAATTATAGATTTGACTCACCGATTGTTTGTTTTTCCCTCTATCTAACAATAGTTGTCCACTATTCTATTTTGAGATGTTCAACAATACTTGTCCACTTTATTAAATCAATATATAACAATAAATTTAAAAATAAAATACCAATAACAATAAATTTAAAAGTATTAATAATAAAATATGTTTATAATATTACAAAGATGAATTCATAATTTAATTTTATGTGTTTATTTTTTAAAAATTCACATTAAATTTATTATATTTTAAGGTTATATTGGTTGACATCTACTTCTTTGTTATAATTTTATTAAATTGTATATAAAAATATTTCATCATGTTAAAAATAGTGAGAGTTCAAATGAACTCAATTTTATAACGGTGGACGTGGATCCCTTGAGTATACAAAACTTAAACTCATAAAAATATTAATGGACTTTAGTATAGCCATGTTACTATATGTTTGAATAGTAATACTAAGAAGATGAAGGATTTGAAAAATCCCAAATCTTGAAAACATCCCATGTGGAATCTCCACATACACTGCATTGGGAGTAGATATATACTTGTATTCCATTTTAATTTTATGCTTCTCTGAGGGTGTGACTGATCTCACCTCGTGCTCATACACTTTACTTAGTCACCATGTGAAGCTACCCTAATTTTTTTTTAAAGAAATAATTTTAATATAATTAATATAAATATTACTAATAATATGAATAATTATTAATATGTCTTATTCAACACTATTCTTATACCTTATCAAACGACCTGACCACTAAATGATATTATTCTCTCTATCCCAAATTATTTGTCCAATTTTTCTTTTTTACTTATCCTTTTTTACTTGTCCATTTTCAGAAATCAAGAAAGGATAAATATTTTTTACCTATTATACCTTCAATTAATTAATTTTGAAAAAGGTAGAATTTTTGAAAATCTTAAATTCTTAATTCATCCACTTCATAATTAATAGGGATAAAATGGTAAACTCACTATGTCAATCATTATTTTATTAATAGATGTGTCAATTCAAAAGTTGAGAAGTAATTAAAAAATAGGAGTACTTCCTTCGTTTCATTTTACTTTTGCCCCTATAACAAAATAAGTAGATGTTTCATTTTAACAAATCAAGCTAATTAAGGGTGTTTTTAATACTATATTTAGTATTTAATAACTATGTAAAATTGTAGTATTCAAATTTAAAGTTTCTAAAAATTAAAAAAAGATTTATACATTAAAATACACTTTTAATTTAAAAAAATTCAAAGAATATGTCAAGAGCTAACTCGGGCCTAGTGATATAGTATAAAACATAGGGAATACAACAAAGTTACAAATAGTATAACATTTCTACTGCACATTATATTGGAGTTATACAACTTGATTATCACGCTATGAGCATAAGATTCTTCTGCTAAAATATTGGAAGGTACATAAATTTCTTTGCTCAATGTTAGATCTCATAATTATTATTTTTAAAAATCCTCATGCATGCATGCATGCTTTAATTTATTTTTCAGTCAAATTTAGGTTATGAGTACAAACCGTGAGTTAATTTCAAGTATGATTATTAAACTTATTTCATTGAAAATATAATTAAATAAATAAAATATGTTATTTGTAACCGTTTAAATTTCTAATAAAATTATCACATATTTTAATATGGTATTAAAACAAACAAAGGTCTAATTAGAATCGAATATCACCATCACATCATTAAAAATTTAGACCCACATGAGAGATGAGATATTGAAAATATTATTAAATAAAAAAAAATGTGTTCTCTATTTTCAATAGTGAAGTCACCAAAATTTACCTCATACAACAACAAAGAATTCACAATAAAGTAATTGATTTTTTCTAGCTATACAATAGTAATAAAAATTACTCAATTTTACCCACTGTTGGTGAAATGCTCTTTCCTGCAGTCATATACTCTCTAGGTTCATTTTTTCTTCCTTCATTTCATTTTACCTAATTTTATACCAAAAATATATATATAATTTTACTGGTTCATTTTAGCAAGTTAAGAAAATTTATTACTTTATCCACGTATAGCCTGTAGTGTTGAATCATTATATAAAGTAGCAGCAATTAAATTTAGAGTTTTTCTAATCAAATTTAGAGTTAAACATCGTTAATAAGAATAATTTACTAAAATACACTCTGACTAAAAATATTCTAAGGAATGTATTAGGATAAATGAGTCGAGTAATATGAAACAGAGGAAGTATAATTTAGCATATGAGATTTTTCTTTTTTATTTTACTCTTAACATTAATTACTCGTTCCCCAAATAATTAATTTCTTAAGTCCATCGAAACTATACATCATTAACATAGCTAGCTACTATGATACTAGTAGTAAAATATGTACTCCCTTTGTCCAACAATAGTTGTTAATTATTGACTTGACACACACCTTAATAGGTGTAATATTACTATATTAGTAGCCTTTGAATATATTAAATTTAATGATTTGACAAATATTTTAAATATTGAATAGTATTTAATAGCAAATTAAAGGTAAAATACAATTATAAAGATAAATTGTCTCTTGATTTTCGAAACTGAATACATATTATTAGACAATTATTTTTAATATATTGAACAAGTAAACATAGACGGAGAGAGTATTTCATTTATATGTTTATAGAAAGACAAGCATCATATATTTGGTGCTTTTTGTCCTTGTATATTTATGGAAGGAGACTTGTATGGTTTATAGAAAAACATATCACGTGGTTATATATATATATATATATATGTTGTTAAGAATTTAAAAGTGAAATGAAAAAGGAGTAAATTTGATAGAGACAGTGGAAAAGTATTGGGTCCAGCCAAGACATGAAATGTAGAATTTATGACATTAATTCCCAATTGGAGAAGAAAATATTACACCAACTTGGATTCTGTATGAGGGCTCTCTCTCTAAAGTCACATCTCTTACATTCCCTTTTAAGCCCTCTTTCATTCTTCAACCTACAAACTTGTATCCCCCACCAACACTACTCATTATAACAACACCTGGCCCCCTCCTTTTTTTTCTCATTCAGTGTTCGATATTAATATTGAAGTTCAATTAAATTCAAATTTATAGAAAAAAGTCTCACATTAAAGGATAAAGTTCTCCCTAAAAAAGACGATTTTGTACCCAGTAGGAAGATTCAAATCTAAGACCTTTGATTAAGATGAAGGAATATTTATAATTTCACCATAATTTTCGTTGATACCTGACCCTCTCTCAAAGTTGATGACTTTTTACACATAAATTTATTGCGTGTTTAGTTATGTTTTGTTATGAAATTTGAAAAAGAAATATTTTTTGTTTTTAAAATGAAAATTGCATATGGAGTGGAGTGGAGGAGAGATGATTGTTAAAAGTGGTAGGATGTGTAATAATGTAAGGAATACTTGATCACGCTTTTTGCCATATGTATCGTCTCTGATTCTCAGGGAGGTTAAAGTCTTGTTTTACCCTCTTCTTTCTTTTCTGGGTAAATATTTCTACCCTATTACCTACCAAATACATGGTCTTCTCTACTCACTTGGAAATACAAGAACAATTGCATAAACAAAAAAAAACAAAAACCTCCACATTGTATCTTGATACTGCTAGGAGTACGTACTTCTGATGAAAAATAATATACTCTCTCAAGTTATGTGACAGTTTTCGTTTTCTGAGAGTCAAACAACTTAAGTTTGACTTGAAATTTGTGCATGAAATCTTCAATTTTTTAAAATGAAATATATGTATTTGTAAACTATATAAAAAGTATTTAAGTCACAATAATTGATAATTCATAATATTTAAAAGATTTATGGAAACTTTACGGTCACAGATATAAATTTATTTGAATTTTAAAATCTGAAAAGTGTCACATAAAATAAGACGGAGGGAGTAATAATTAAATAGTCAAAGACGCGCGCTGCCAATGTACTAGCACACACAAGCTCATCATCCACACTCGTCCATTGCAATTGCTGTAATTTTCCATGCATGACCCACTTTCGATACTTGTAAATTAATTCAATTTTTTGTTTCAAATACTTTAAAGATTATATGTTAGGAAGCATGATAACAGTTACAAAAAATTACTTTTAAAATTTAAATAAATTGAGACAAAGGAAGGAATAATTTAGAATCTAAGTAATATTTTAGCTTATTTAATGAGCATATAATAAGCTAAATATACCCTTATTTTGAAACAGAAGGAGTATTTATTGTTTTCTCAATTCAGTTTTACTTATCCACGATTTCAATTTTTTTCATGTTTTACCCAAATCATTAGATATAGTGTAGTAAAATAATCATATCAATTGTTATTTTTCTAATGGGTGGGCCAAGTCCAGATATAACAAGTAAAAGTAAATTGTGTAAAATTTTACTCCTAAAGTCGTACTTGTTTCTGTTGCATGTATATTTATGTCTGCCTCTGTATTTACTTGTAGTACGACATATATGCAGTGCAGATGTTCTACAATATGTAGAGAAAAAATATTTAAACAAATCACAGAATAATAATGCATTTGATACCTTTTTGTAGGAGTAGTTTATGAGTAAATAATCAACATATATAGAGCTGAGTGACATGGATGGTCATGGATACTCACCTCCAACAATTGAACGTAACAAAAAGGGGAAGAACCACCGTCACGCGGTGGTGGATGATGATACGATCAAGTGTAGTGGTAAGTCATGCAGATCATGTAGTGGTGGTTTAATCGCGGATTGCGTAGCAGTCTGTTGCTGCCCGTGTGCTGTAGTAAACATTTTAGCATTGGCATTTCTAAAGATCCCCTGGATGGTGGGAAGGAAATGCTTGAGAATGGTGAAAAAGAAAAAGTTGGAGGACAAGAAGAGGAAACATGACAAGAGTATTACTATTACTGATAGTATTGTACAAGAAGGAATTCATGTGGAACAAGAGTTAAAAGACAGTTTTAGTACAACAATTGATGTAGACCAAATTTGGTTAGACTTGTATCAAGTTGGTAGTATGGGTTTTGGCAGAGTTTCATTCACAGGAACTAATTAGGTTCAAATATTATTTTCGCAGCGCATTGCGAAAATCCCAATTCTTGAAATTGTTCTGGATTTGAGTATTTCCTATCAAACACAACTCCATTTCCTCACGAACCCCGAGAAATTCCATTAATGCATGGTGAAAGAGTATTTATCACTCCTTCACATTCTTCAATGGTACTAGTTTAATCATATGTTAGTGAGATTAGTTAATATGTATCTCTTTCAGTGCCATTTTCATCACTTTATATTTCTTCTTTCTGAATTGTACAGTTAATTTGGTGATGTTTTCTTGGAATAAACATGGCTCATTTCGAAGGAAAATGAAGAGGAATTTACTAGTTTAGTATGTCCAGTATTTCATGTCATAAACATTTGTTTCTTCTATGTGAATGTATAGTTAAGAGTAATGCTTTTGTATAATAATATTGGTCATTTTGTTTCGTTGTCTAATAAAAATAAAGAACCATTAAGTGATGTATAGAATTCCATGTATAGAATTCAAAACCCTAGCTTGTATTAATTATCAGTACTCATGAATTATACTTGCTAGGAAGATCAGTCAGAAAATCATGCTTCAGAACTCGAATGCCATATCTTTCAATATACTTATGTTGCATTTTCAGATAGCATGTCAGTATCTTGAGCTACTCAGTATTTCAGTTGCATTTTAGCTATATATATTCAGTTGGGAGTAGACTTAGCACCGAGTTGGACTAGGGTTCAACGTACCCTCACAGTCCTAAAACTACGTGCCAACGTAGGTTCAGAAGTCCCCTCTGTTGGGCATCAGTTGGAGTGTTCACATTGCAGTCATGCCTCTATACCCCTGTCAAGGTATATTGGGTCCTCTCGATGGGGCGTATACATCATACTCCACGTTTAGCTCATGTGGTTTATGTCGGTTAATAGTAGCTCCCACAGTCATACTCTTATTGCATTGACCATGCTATCACCATTTACTTAAGTATTCAGTTCAACATATTATCTTCATGATTAGTACTTAGTCATTGCATCTAGCTCAGTTTTAAGTTATACTCTAGTACAACCTATTGCCATGCTCAGTCTATATTGTCTGTATTATATTGTTCTATTTTTATAGTTCAGCTTAGTGTCTATATCCTGCATTCTCAATACATTCAAAGTACTGACGCATACTTTGCGCTACATCATTTTATGATGTAGGTTCAGGCGCTCATCATCCAGACCACGCTCAGTACGATTTCCAGCCCATACTCAGCAACTTCAGTTGTGAGTCCTCATAGTTCGAGGGCGTTTCTTTATGTTTGGTTTAATTAGCTTATTTTTAGTCTTTTAGTATTTGTTTTAGGTAGCTTGGGACTTGTCCCAACAATTCATCAGTAATATGGGCTTTCAGACATAGAGTCAGTGTTATGTGTTTTGGGGTTGTTTCCTCCAGATATTCAGTTATATTTTCATTTGGAGTCCTTTAGTTTTGACTTATTTATTAGTTCTGCTTCTGCTCATCTTAGTTATATATTCAGTATGCTTGTGATATGCCAGACTCAGAGTTAGCTTGGGGTCACTTATGATCCTAGGTCCCGTATTACGTCTAGAGGTAGCCTTGGGGTGTGGCAGACACGATCTCATACTGAAGTTTTGATTGTTCCATTGAGTCAGAATTTTTAATGTGATTGGGTTGCATATCTCATTTGTAGGCACATGATTCTAAACAAATCTCGAGCCGCGAGCTGATCCCGAAGGGTTTGGCTGAAATTTCTGTTGCCTGATGCGTGTGCCTCCGCTTTTAAGGTCATGCTGTCACACCTCGAGCCTACACCCTGATCAACACTCGAAAACTATTGCTGACCCCAAGTGAACCCTTGGCCTGACTTACTACTCAGCGGAAAACTTTACTCAACATTTAAAACAACTCAAGAGAAAAATTCATAAATCAAACTTAGAATGTATAAAGGAAAACATTCAACTGACCATGAAGGCAACTCAAGTCATATGATCAAACCAACTGAAATGAATATGACTAATGAACTACTAATATCTAACTGTCTATGAAGCCTCTAATACTTAAGAGGGATGTCGGGACAAGACCCTCGATCATCCTAACAACTGAAATAAGCAAAGCAATAAAAAGGGGATCCTCCGAAAAGCAATGAGGCTCACCAAATGACTTTGAAATGCTCAACTGGATCAATGAAGTGCTGGATGCTGATCCTAGTTACCTGTATCTGCATTATAAAATGATGCAGGTCAAATGACATCAGTACATTGAATGTACAAGCATGTAAGGGGAAAACTAAACATGACATAAGCTTGAACTGAATTCTGAAAGTAACACTTACCTCAGCTTTACTCAACTCAATGCAGAAATAAACAACAGTAAAGATGCAGCTTATATAAAACATTTAAACAATAGCTAGCAACTCGGTGTATTGAAGAAATACAATAACAACTCAATTTATATATATAATAAAGTAATATAATTATATGGGATTTTATCTAACCGACAACGATCACTATCAGATATGTGATGATACAACGTCTCGCCCACGCTGCCAGAACTGTCCTATAACTTGCCGGGATATAGAACGCTTCAACTAAGTGGATCCACTAGTCTTAGCTAAAAAACATTAAGGAATCATCTATAAAGTATGACCCTTTCTACCCATGTTGTCTATATGGTTTATGGAGACTTGAGTTATTATGAACTCGTCCCCTTATTGGTGCTCAATACTACTCCCAAAATACACTCAGCTCATGAGTTTTAAAACATAACTCTTTCTTTGGTTTGGGATTATTACTCAAAAAATAGATCAAAGCTCTCTTGGAAATCTGTGTTTCCTCTCTTGTTTAAATGTGAAAACATTTACTCTTTGGGAATACTTAGTCCCCATATAATCTTTTGAAGAAAATGAACTTCACTTTTATTCTTACGCAACTCAATGCTCAAATCTTTAAACAAGTTTAAAACATTTATAAAAGACTTTTGAAAAGACTCTAAGAATTCTCTAGACTTGACTCTTAACTTTCCTTGAATTTAAATTTATGGATTCAAGGTTATGGTTCATGTTTATGGATGATTTATAGACGTTTAGAAGTCATTTAGAGGAGTTAGAATCAATAGGAAGTGTTAGTATACTTTAGAAGGACTCAGACGGGATATTAAACGATGAAAAATGGGTGGGACTTGGCGACCCTGGAGCAATGCTGGCGAGGGGCGCCAGCCCCTAAAGTACTGGAACCCATTTATGGCGCAGTGCTAGCGTGCCATGCCAGCCCTGCTAGTGCATCAGTGGCGTGCTGCGCCACCCCTCCCCCAGTTCAATCCGACGAATTTTTCTTCTCATTTTCTGACCTTAATTCGATTAAATTCGATTCTTTTTCTCAATATCTCTTTACATTTAGATACCCACAACATGTACTCAAGAATCTACTCATAAACGACTATAAAATCGACACTAATTCCTCAAGAACTCAACAATCCCATCAAATCTCAAGAACGAAACCAAATTTTAAGAACAGAATCCAAGATCATCAACTTTGTAGAACGAATTTTTGCTGAAATACACATGGTTGGCCCGTGGGTGAACGAACCCAACGCTATGAAAGTCTCACATACCTCTTAGGATTGAATCCTTGGCGAAATCTGCAACCAAAATCGCAAGAACTTGACGAATCTTGATCTTTTCTTCTTCTTTCTCCTCTTGAGTTCTTTTCTCTAAAACCCTAGCGTGAAATTTTAGTGCGTAAATTGAAACAATTTAGTTTAGACCCCTTATTAATTACTAAAAACGAAATAAGCTAATTGGGTAAGAAAAAGATCAAAATACCCCTCTAATATCCGGGTGACTTTTCTTATTCAGACAACCCGACTTCAAACGGGCATATCTCCCTCATACGAACTCAAAAATTAGCAAACTCGATGGCGTTGGAAAGATAATTCAAAGACCTTTCATTTGATATCTTGTATCTCACATAAATCATCATGTGCTGAGAGTTATGGTCACATAAAACGTCTTGTTTTTTGCTAACTTTCTCCATCTGCAAGTTCATTGTCAGCATCTACTTCAATATGTGTTTATCTAACGGTATTTGTGAGCCAAGTTGCATGATCTTATACATTTGTATTCGTTTTTTCCAATATCGTTCATTTCTTGAAATTCTTTACGAAGACCTTCAAACGCATCAAAGACATTCGATCTGCCTCAACATGTTTACGGTAGTGATCTTCTAGTTTAAGTACAAAAAAATTGTCCAATATTTTTCTTTATTTGTAAATAATAGAAACAAGGGTTTACACTTGTGAAAAAAGCATAACACCAACATATACTTCAATCCAAGTTGTAATCTTATATGCATACTAAAACAAGGTTTATTCCTTTCCGAGAAACTAACATTACTTGCATTCTCAGACTCAATCAACTTTGTTTCAATCTTTTGCTAATTTGTCATGTTTTCCATATGGATACTTTTTTGTTCTTTAATTATTTTATTTTCCAATGAAAAACATTGCCAAAAAGTGTAACCAAAAGATTGAAATGAAATCGATCGAGGTTGAGAAAGCATGCACTGTTAGTTTCTCAAAAAGAAAAATACTTTGTCCCCACAAGCATATAAGTTTGCAACTTGAACCGGAGAAGATGTTGGTGTTACACTATTTTCACCAAGCGGAAAACCATGTTCTTATGATTCCACAAGAATAGAAAATATAATTGACAATTTTTTTGATGTGGCACAAGAGGATCGACAACGTGATTATGCTGATGTCAAATCAAATGTCTTTGAGGCATTTGAAGATCTCTATAATAAATTACAAGCACTGAACAAGAAAGAAAAGAAATGAATACTACTGTTTAAGATTATGCACTATGGCTCAGAATAACCTCAAGATTAATACATGGAGGAGCTGAAGTTGACAATTAAGTTGCGGATGGAGAAGCTTAAAAAAAACTAGAAGTGTTATTATGGCCAAGCATCTCAAGTTTTATTTAAATGTTTACCCTGAGACTGAGAAGAATTAGAGTTCTTGAACTCATAATTATCATGGAATTGATAATTGGAGTTCTTGAACTCATAATTATGTTGGAATTGATAATTGGAGTTCTTGAAATTAGAGTTATGCTTGGAGAAGACTTTCCCAACGATTGAACCTTTTAATGTGGTCAATTCTTGTCTTTGTTAATAAGTGTCTTGTTGTTATTCTTCAGTCACCAATTTATAAAAGGTTTTAGACAACAAAATAGAAGGTTATGAAGCTCTTAAGTTATTAAGTCAATCATTTTTCTTTGTTGCATCTTTAATCGTTGATGTTGCTTTGAGTTGTCTAGATTTATAAATCAATTAGAGCCATTTACAGAACTAGTGA